AGTTGGATTGTTGAACCATCATTTTTCCCTTCGCCACCCCTGATTCAGCCGCCACTGAGTATTTCTCATGAATAATTTTCATTTAATCTAATAAAGTTGAAAAAGTTTCGAATCTGTGAAAACTTTCGTTAATTTATCTTGAACCGTTTCAAACGTTTGATTAAAAAACTATATTTATTCTGAAGCGTTTTTTTGACACCTTATATCTCAAAAACTAACTATAGTGAAGATCTACTACCTCGGCAACATTGAAGACAAATAGAAGGATATCCACTGCGGTCTATGGCCTGTTGTGGCTCTTCTAATACGTAAATGATTGATTTGCAATGGTTACATGATTGGTTTGGTAAACGGCCAATGCTAACTAGATTTAATGCATTACAATGTTTCTTTCATTGGGTTTAGAGACATGCATAGGTTTGGTTTTTATTTTTCCTTCTGAAACGAAGCTATTAGATAAGAAATCCAAGAGGGCAGAAAAATTGTATTTTGGAATGCACGCCCCTGAAAATATGTAACTCATTCATGAACTGTTATAGCTCTGAAAGTTAGCTCATTGATATTTTCACAATAGATGTGAATTTCATCAACAACCGGTTATAGCATTTCTAAGAAATAAAAAATAATCGATTTCTTAAAGATACTTGAACACCCTATATCTCGAAAACGAAGCGTTCAAAAGTATATGTTCATGGGAAGTTCATTTATTATTTCAACGAGTACTATACGCTGTTAAATTTTCCGTATCAAAAAACGGACCACCCTGTATAAGTGCTTGCGTATGATCTGAAGAGATATTAAGTTTCGGGCAGAAACGTGTATTTCTTTTGTTAACCAGGGTTTTTTGATTTTTATTATCAGCTTTTCTGATGTCCATTTTTTGTTCGAGAACATCCCCATGTTACCCTTTCTAGTCTCCCAAACGCCGGCCGTAAAACACTTAATACAAGACGAACTCTTATTGCACTCCAGGATAACAGAGACAGTGTCTAGACACCCCGTGTAGCAGAGTAATGTTACAGACATGTTCAGTGGAATCCAATTTCCTAGAGTATCTCTCAAATGAGGTGAATATTCATAGGGTCGAATTTGATAGCGTGTTCCCCATTTAACTCGTTCTAGAGCTGAAATTCGGGTTTGGCCAGAAAATTATCAATGATAACACCAAACGTCCCATCAAGTTGAATTATACAAGGAATACGGCTGACTCGGTCGGTATATCAGGGGAGAGGCAGACGAAAATGAGGAGATCGTTTGAGCTGGCAATTACTAGGTTTATCTCTAGGATCCGTGATATCAGAGATTAAACAGAACGGTTCAGTGCACAGGGCTATGTTGATATTGCAAATCGTTGAAGTTGAAAAGAGGGCTATGAAGAATGATCAAATATTTCATCCGAGAGATGTTCTTGATTCATCATGATGTTCTTTCTTATTATTCCAGATTTTTTGGGATTTTCTCTCCTCGTTTCTATGAAATGAAAATATGAATACGCTTTCGGTATACCTGTAGTAGGGACAAATCAGATGATTTGCCCCGAAAAGTCACTGCGTGTAAAGAATTTTTCTATCAGAGAGCATCGTGCAGAGAGCGTAAAAAAAAATTCACTTGCTTGTCAGTGACAATTTGTATCGAAACAAGTTTGGAGAAGAGCAATAAAGGTATATAGATAAAATATCGAATTTTCACTTAGCTTTGGACGTTTCGGGAACGAATCTGTTCCCGTTTCCAACATAAAAATTGGATTTTTTGTATCCCAAATTCGTATTTGTCCTTACACTTTTCAGTTCTCAGTGACAATTGGTGACGTTGGCAATCAAATGAGTTACAGGATGTTTTCTTTGATTAATCCTGGATTTACCATTTTCATTTTCAGATTTCAATAGTGAATACCATGTTCTATCTATTATCTATATTAACTCAACAGGAAGCAATGCTATTGTATCCGTTCAGTTCTTGAGTATTCACACTTAATCAAGGGTTCAGTATATATTGTGTTTGTGAAAAGTTTTATACAGGTGAAACCAAGATACCTTTCAGTAAGGACGAAGGCACATAAATTAAATCGAATATAAAGAAAAGACGCATCGACAACTCGAAACTAGCTCAACAGATTATCCTCACTGAAGATGGACAACATTCGGTAGAGTGGAATAATATTAAAACCATTGGAAAAGAAGATAACAACCAGAAGAGAAGAATCAAGGAATCTGCTTGCATTTTCCTGAACGAAGACAATATCATTGCTTCCTGTTCAGTTGATATAGATTGAACACGGTATTCACTATTTAAATCTGAATATGAAAAAAAAACATCCTGTAACTCATTTGAATGCCAAAGCCATTTCTGTCACCAGTAAATAATGGCGGTGAATAACGCATTATCCACTGGTCTGAAGTTCCTTATATATGTTATATCGCGTACTCTCGAACTCTAGGCCAGTGAATTATGGTTATTCACAGATATTATTCACTAGTGTGAAAAATGGCTACCGTTTTGCTTGAGGAAGTACATGTATTATAAATATTTCATACAACAGTCGTGGATTAAACTATTATTGTTTCTCATCATTCGACTTTCGAACAGGTGAGAGATTGATCGAACAACAAATGGAAGAAAAATGTGGAGGGCATTTCCATGTATTCCATGAAAGTCACAAAAAATTATCACGTATTAATTTGAAAGTTTTTTTTTTCAAAATGGAAATCTGAATGTATAATATTAATAATTCCTTTCTGAATTCATTATTCAATATTATGAAACCGGGATTCAACGGATACCTATGTAAATTAAATTACCTATTTCAGTAATTTGTTCAGAATCAGAAAGCTTTCAAGCTTTTAATGGAGGTTTGCATATTTTATGAATAATAATTCCAGACGACTGGAATATTAATGGCATTATGATTCTGAGTGGCAACTCATGATCGTTGTATACTATATAACCTCACTTATTTCGATTTGAAGTATCAACCGGTATATAAACAATCGTTTTCTCTTTGTCAAAGTTCTACTAGAGTGTATCTACCATCTCGATTTTTCAAAATGAGTAATATTACGTTATTTTCTTGAATGCAGTGTCATCCATGAAGTCGGCATCATATGGTGAAAACTTTTGATAACAATTCATTTCGAAATTCGACTTGCTTCGAAAAGTATGAAAAATAAACTATTGGTCGAGTGTACGTGACTTTCACCCTCGCTTTCACCACATGTCATGAGTTGAATTTTTTCAAATTAATCGCTGAAAATAGGCTTATTTGTTCAAATTTTTTTGAACGTTTCATTATATATCAACTTTCAGATGATATTTTTTGAACTACTACGGAATTTTTGTGTTATTGATAATAGTTAACAACGACGAAAGTATTTCATTCTAATAGCTTCATTATGCCATCCGACAAAAATATATAAATTTCTTGTGAAAATAATGAAGTCTGCCTAAAATTCCTGTTATGTTTGATGCAAAGTTGATCTTACCAAATTTAAGGACAGTTTTGTCGAAATATATCAAGTCATATAAGTTGCAATAGATCATTCAAATTCTAGACAGATATTTGGAATGAGAATAGAAACAACATTCCCCAATAAACATTCTTGAAATGCGAACGAATTAGCCTATTTTGACTTGAACGAAAGTCACGTGACCCCAACAGTCATCTCCACAACATTTATTAGGATGATCAAATAGTTAAATATGAACCCGACCTTCAAAGGACATGAATTTATTTTAAAATAAATTTATAACATAGTTTCATATCATTTCACAGTGAAAGTGAGTTTTTCAGGTTTCTTCACTTTTTCTTCATATACTGAATCAATTGTTTTCCAGATCATGGAGCATATTTTCTTGTTTGCACTATTATAACCTTTACTATATTTGTATGCCTATACTCTTTTCATTTCCATGTTAGTACTAAGTAATTCTTGCATCTATATCATATGTCAACACTGATTTTTCTAGATTTATAATATTTCCTATTGGCTGATGATGAATAGTACCTATACCTTTGTTATTTTTGTGATGAATAAAGACGATTTATTATTTTCTATTTTGAAGTAAAACTTGACGTTCGAGTCATATTTCAAAATGGATTAGTATCAAACGTTTTTTCTATTTGATGCCAACTTCATGAATAAAACTGTATAAAACACTTTTGATTACAACAATCACAGAACACCATAACAAGAAAATAGGGTATGTTGTTATTCTGTTTTTTAGCAAACATAATAGAATGACGGTGACATAATATGTACCTATATCATGGAAACGTTTTCGAATGATTATTTTATCATCACTGTAACGATTTACTTCAACAAATAAATACAAAAGTCGAGTCATTTCCAGAAATGTTCATTTTTATAAACATGGCTTTGAGTGTTGTATTCATTCCGGTTTTTGAAAAATTGGTATATTTCGAAGGACGATGAATGAATTAGAGTCGAATTAAATTCAGGAATTTTTATTTGCATCCTATTCATGAACTATGGACTAGGGTGTATTCATTGAGAATTGCAATGTTCAATTCCGCAGATTTGCATCCATTGAATTTTTCAAAATGAAAATTAAATGACGGGTCATTGGGATTATATAGACTTCAAGTTTCGGTGAACCTTGTATATTTATACTAAGATTGGCCTCAATGTAATAAAATTGCTGGGAGAATCCTTTGAAGCGTAATCACATAATCAAAGTTAAATGATGAAACAAGAACTTCCAAGAATTGATCGAACAAAATCACGTAACAAAAGTTTAGAATATATACGATCGGAACTTTGTTATTGGACTGTTGGAGAAACCTAGCATCACGTTATAGTGCATTGAAGTTTCTCATATAATTAAGGCTGCAGTAAACTGTTTAATATCCCTGTAGCACAGAGTTTCTAATTCTCATTTGATGAACCCACGTTTTCGCGTATAAAGAGCTAGGCTAGAAGTGTTCAATTTTGAAACATTGATAATTGGGATGATTAAAATCGACAATGCTGAAAATATCTTACCTTCAATGAATTCGAAAGACTTTTCACCCCCTCTCCAAGTTTACTCCCGTTCTGCTCATATTGCATCATAATTTCCTCAGTTTGGTTCAACTTCTTCATTCTTCTATTCCTCCTCCTACACTTCATTATCATGATGACTGCAGCAATAAGCACAAATACTCCCAAAATACCAAAACCGACGATGGCATACAAGAAATATTCGAACGGCACCGAAACGATGATAACTATGGGATTCTCCTTGAGAATAATCCTAATGGTGAAGTTAGACTGTGAAGTACCGGCAGCATTATCAGCGTTACAAATATAAGTCCCATTGTCGTCAGCGTCAGCGTTGTAAATAAAGAGCTCGCTGCGTTTGTTTTCATTGCCTTCCTCGATGTAATAGATCAAATGGACGCCGGGAGCTATCATCGTGTCGTTATGCAACACTTCTCCCTGAAACCACCAAGAAACGGTGGCCTCTGGAACGGCCTGTACGTGACAAGACAGAGAGACGTTTTTACCCTCGCCCAACTCAAGATAAAAGGAAGTCGGCGAGATGTTCGGGAGACAGGCGAGTCCCATTTCCGGTATCGATTTGATGGCGCGGGAGGCGAGTCTGGGGGGGCCATAACACACTGGCTCCACTGACAGGAGACTCCCAAATTCCCTCAGCCAGGCGGCTAGATCGGAGATGTGGCAATCGCACTCCCAAATGTTTTTCTCCAAGTCCACGCCTTTAACGTAGTCGGGCAGCGTTCGTCTCCCGGGGATGGTTTTCAATCGGTTGTTGTCTAGATGGAGCCACTCGAGGCTGTGGAGGCCGTGGAAAGCTCCCTCTTCGATGTCGGATATCTTGCAATAACTAAGTTCCAAATTGTTGAGCTGCGTTAGCGACTCGAACGCGGATTCTTTCACTGCGGTAATAGGATTCATGCTGAGCGTCAGTTTCATCAAGGATGGACACCCTGGAAAAGAAGTGGTCGGTACGCTTTCTAAGAGGTTTCCAGAGAGATCGAGCTCCACTAGATTAGTCAGGCCTTTGAATGTATCGCGATGTACCGATTTTATCTTGCAATTCGGCAAGTACACCCGCTGCAAGTTGATCAGTTTCTTCTTGAGGAAGAGGTCTTTCGATAGTTTGCTGAGTTTATTTCCAGGGAAGTCGAGCACTTGGGTTTCTGGATCTAGACCGTCTGGGATTTCGATGAGGCCTTTGTTTTCGCACTCAACTGTTTGTTTTCCGTTTTTCCACCTGCATGCACAAGAAACGGAGCAGCCTGTGCTATCGTTTATTACTTGCAAGAGTAGTAACGGGTACATCTGCCACAGTATTTGCATTTTGATGTTTAGCTACGCTGGGAGTTTGTTTTTCTTGATGCTGAATTCCATATTTCGGTGGAGATCTGGAATGGAAAGTAATACGCTATCACTTCAAGTTATGATATTATGCATACCAGAATTCCATGAAACGGATATGGAAATATTCCGATGGAAATGTTTCGAAATATAAATAACAAACCTAATGAAACATCTGTTTCAGTAGCAGATGGAACATGATACCAACTGATTACAGGGTCTGGCATGATGTATCACCTTATTAATTTTTTTCATACCTTTCATTATACAGGGAGTTTTTTGTGTGTTATATTATCATTCCACTGGTGAGTTGAGTTGATGAGAACGTGAGTTATAACATGCTCAGTTTTTCAGATACCCACGTGAACACATATTCGTTTTTGAAACGTTGAATGACGGGTTAAATCGTAAAAATAACGCAACTGGTTGGACACTTCAACGTTGAAATTTGTTTAAAGAAATACGAGAGATCAAGACGTTATTTAGACGTTTGATTTCTGAGAATTAATTACACTGTTCCGATCTACAAACACTAGGTGATAAACGTTAAGGCAGAAATTTGATACTTCCAAGCAATAATACGAAATAACCCGTAAATAACGTTAGATAATTTCAACGTTTGAAATTCACATAACTTTTGGTGATGAGAACACGTTCATAATGTCTCATTTGAAAACCTTTATTGTCATGTGACAAAGAATCAATTAATATCAAATCAGTAGTTGAAAACATTTTTGGGTAGCTACTGGTAAAAAAGAACGTGTATGTCAGCGACAGTTTTGCTTTATTTCAACCGAACATTGTTGTAATTTTACTACGGTATTTCGACGTGAGTTTGTTCACCGGGAGCTGTATTGAAATTGAAAATAATACAGCTTTATCTTCCAAGTATACGTAAGCTCTTGTATCACCCCATTTTCAGTGTAATCCTCTTAGGAGTTGTCCACGAAAAAAAATCGAAGAATGGTATTTTGCGAAAAAATTCTGCAAGATAAGTAAGTTCTCGAGGTGATTCATTATCAGAGTACCTCGTCAACTCATTGATAAAAAACCTAGAGAGTAAGTATTATAACATATATACAGCCTGCCACACTGTACTACTTCTGTATAGAATGCTGTGCTGACTAACTCAATTGAATGAAAACTAGAACTTTGTATCAACTTCAATATACCACCAACTCGCCCTTTCAATTCATGATGTAAAAAGAGCACGTATTCAATTTCCTCTCACATTTTTCTGATTTCACGTATATCCTTTGAAAGAACTACGGATGTGAATATTATAAAGGCTTACCTACATAGCTTCTGAAATTCAAACGATAATGAAAAGTATTCGGCTTTGAATGAGTTCCAAGCTGTAATGCATTTATTTTCGCAAGATAATGAAGTTATGTGAAATGCTCAAGAACATTATTGATTATATCAGTGTACTGAAGAGTCTTTTGCTGCATTATAATCAGAAAATAATGCATTGAATTGTATCTTCCGGAAGTCGTTCATGAGTTCTGTTCACTGGTTGCTTTGCCCAACTAAATGATACGGTATTCACTCGCTGTTCAGTGAACGGTGAATTGATTTCCATCATAATATAGATAGATAGATAGATAGATAAATAATTTATTCATTATTAAAGTTTTTTCACAAAGTATAGTACAGAAACTTATCAGACTAGTCAAACAGGAAATCAGACTACACAAGTCATGCTGAGGACAAAATATTTGAAAGAGAAAAATAAATAGATTCACACATTTGAGGAATACATTCACAATTCGGACAGTAAGATTACATCAATACATTCAATCAGTTTTGATAAAATGCTATACAAGTCCTGAGAGGGAAAAGAAGATGTTAACAGATTTATTGAATACATTCATACATATTGTAATGATATTCCTCTTAGAGGGGCTCTAGAACATCATCAGGAAGGCAGAAGTTCAACAATCACCCAGTAACAAAACTTTGGTTGAAAAAGCTTCCTAACAGAGATACAGGGTGTTAGAGTTTTGACACTTTGATTGAGTTCTCGACAGGTCGCCATAGGATTGGGATCTTCAAAATCAACACTGTAATGTATACTCCATGAAGATTATTGAAAGCAATACTAGTCGCAGCCTGTACATAAGCTCTAATATTCAGGATTCTTGAAATTCTCCAAATTCGAATGAGTATCCGAAAAACAAAGCCACAAATCGAAAATTTGCCGAGGCATTCTCCTGAAGATGCTAACATAGTTAGCGAAACACGTGTCGAGGCGTTAAAAAATCGGTTTGGTTAGTGGTAAATCCGGGAAAAACAGTGTAGTGTACTGTTCTTAATATTATTATGAAATTTGACCAGTGGTGTCCCTATGGAATGTATATTGAAGATTTTCATGAAAAAAAATTTTTTTGGTATCCTGATTAATTTCGCGAGAATGTGACCCCCTGAATTGATTTAGTAAAACACAACTGTTCTGGCGCAAAAAAATAGAACCATTTTCTTGCAATTGTGGTATTAACGGGATTATGTTGAGCTAGTAGGCTGATGCCCTATTTTGTACTTGAAATAATAACATTAGATCAAACAATTGCGGTCCTATTTTGGCAAGTATACATGAACGTGATAGTTTTTCACATCGTGAAAGTTTTTGCAATCAATTATAAAGAGAACATTGAATTTCAACACCCTATAGCTCGAGAGATAAAGGGTTTAGTACATACACTTTCATATATAAACTATTTCCTTCTCAAATGAGCTTAGGAGCCATATCCTATATTTTATTCAATCAATTTATTCTTATACTGTACAAATAGTCGTCCATGCGATCTTAATCGGCGAGATGGAAAACGCCGTCTGCACATTAGTCACCCCATCCTTGTTGAGATGGCGTCTCTTCCATTTCACTATTGCTTATCATCATAATTTCTGATATCAGACATCAGTATAAACGATCTTCATGTCAAAAGTAAATCATATTCATCAAATCGAATATATCAGCACTGATCATGTAACGATACATCTGTATAGAGAAAATAATTTCATCACATCATTAATTCATTTATTCATTCAATTTGTAATACATTCAGCCGGCCAAGACTCAATTACAAGAGTATATAATAGAGATTACTATACAGTTGGTTGAGTGTGATTTCAAATTAGGTATGATATAGGTTAGTTTGAATTTTAGTTGCGAACCACACTGGAAACGGTTTGTTCAAATTGTTTTGAGGTGAGAAATAATATGTCTACATTTCCAAGTTCATTATAATTTCTGCACATAGAATTGATTGGGGAATGAAAATGGTGCTGTGTATTAGACACAATAATGTGAAATGTATTTTGATACCGAGACGCTAATCGGTATTATCCCAGACAGCACCAGATATTCCATGAATGTCCCTATCATATTCCTTTTGGAATATTGGAATATTCTAGAAATAATCTGGAATATTCCGGAATATCTGTGGAATATTCTCTAAATATGCGAATGGGAATTCCTCAGATAATCATAGAATATACCCAAAAGAATATTCTATGTTGAATGTTCCTGGAATATTCCAATAAACATATTCTAAAATTAAAAAAAGTGACCCAAGTAGGGATCGAACTCGTGACCTCAAGACTATCAGAGCAACGCCTTGACCACTAGGCCAGTAATCGAATTGAATTATGTTATACATATCAAGTTCTTGTGAGAGCATTGTTCGAAATCGGATCATAAACACTTTTTGTTTCAAAATCTCCTTACATCTAATTGATGTTCGATACTCATATCTCTGAAATGATAAATGGTATTCATGTGTTGAGAAACAAAGGAATATTCATGGAATATTTCATGAATATTCACCACCGAATATTCAGTTGAGAATATTACATGAATATACCGCACAGAATATTCAGTTGGGTATATTTCATGAATATACCGCACAGAATATTCAGTTGGGTATATTTCATGAATATACAACAGAGAATATTCAGTTGGGAATATTCCTGGAAGATTCATACGTGAATATTCCCTGAACATGTCCGACTATTCACTTTGGAATATTCCTTTTAGATGTTCCAGAGGCATGTATATATTCTAGGAATGATCGATGAATATTCGGAATATACTCCTCCCTTTTAGCATATTTAGAGAATATTCTATGAATATCCAGTGCTGTCTGGGATACAGGCGTATAAAAGGGTATGTCACGACGAGCTTACACTATCTCTATATCGGGAAGCAGTCGTGAGAAATCCATGTGGAAATAAATATGCATGTTTACATTTGAGAAATGATCACAGAGATATGCACTGAGAAAACTCGGCCAAGTAAATTGTTTTCTTGAAAAAAAGAACATTTTCACCAACGGTAGGAAAATATGGTACTTGCAGTAGGCAAAACTATATTTCTGGAACGAAGTTTCTGCTGTGAGTGATCAGAACACTTGTTGGTATCAACCAAGTCGATATGTACTTAGAGTTAGCTAATTCTAAGTGAACACTAAACTAGTGCTAGGTTAACGAATACTCACTATTATTAAATTATTTTTCTGCCATAAGAGCACTTGCTCTGAGCGAACTCATCAATAAAGACAATCTATCAAGTCGATAGTTGCAGGTGACAGCTCACCTGTAGTTATAGATCTCTTTTCTGTTCGGATATCTCCGATATTATTCGAGTACCCACGCCCAACGCGATCACAGTGTCCACGAGTCCACGGCGTCATTTCGATCTTAGCATTCGTGAAGTTAGTATACTTGCGTTCCCGCTAGTAACATTGAAATTCCAAGTCATGCAAGTGCCCTTTCGAACAACTATACTATATTATATTCGTATAAAAATTCTCTGTTTGTGTGCCGTGCTCTGAGCTATGGGGTGTTGAGTTCTTGATCTGTTCTCTTGAAGGAGATAATGAAATTCAATACTCTTCTAGAACAGTACATATTTGTTTCTACATAATATACAGGATTTTTTCCACTTCCTATGATACTCGAAGTGGGAGGAAGTGACGTTTAAA